CCTTAAGGTTTTTTGACTGTTGAAATCTGTTGCTACACTGTTTTCACACACTTTATCTATAAACTCTCTGAAACACTTTCAGTAATAACACAAAGTTTAAATAAATAGGTTAAAATTTTATAAGTATTTACAGTGTTTCCCATGATTAAAATGTGGGTTGGAAAATCCATCTGCCTGGATTCAAATCCTAACTCACTATTTAAAAAGCTATGAGATCCTGGGAGACAGACTAACTGGGCTAGTAACTCCCTCTGCCCAGTTTCTCATCCACTGAGTAAGGCTAACAAAACCCTACACCCATAGTGTTGATGTGGGGACTGAATGAGTCAATATATGGAAAGCACTAAGACTAGCCATAAGTGCCATTCAAAATGGAGACCTTTCTGTATGATGGTTTCTATTTCTAAGTTCTTTACAATCAATGTTAATAGATAAATGTGATGGGCAAGTTAGGCTCTTCTGAAATCAGAGAACCTGGCAAAGTGGGCGGGTGCTAAGTCCACTGACATGGACTCTACCTCCCTGCTCCCTGGTTATAGCCTAGGCTAAGGCATGTCGGGAGACATGCAAATTTGTGTCATCATATTAGCATACAGACGAGGAGAGAATGTCTACTGCAAGTTCTGTTTCATCTGTATCCCCCAAGAAGCTCTAACTATACAACTACCTCTCACAAAGAAATCAGACTTTATAAAATATAACTTGAATTATTATAAAACTCAACCAAGTTCAAAAGATCCATTTATTGTACAATCTATTTTAAAAAAAAAAAAAAAAAAAAAACAAATAGGGTGCAAATGTAATAGAAAACAATGAAAACATGCCAGGTACATGTATGTGCAAAGCCAATGCGGATAAAACTTACCAAGAGTCTACTTCTACTTGCCGTACTTGGCAGTCAGAATAATTGATCACCTCAGGAAGTTTTAGAAAGTTCAATCCTTTATAACTAAAACTGTAACTTAATGAAAAGAATCATCTTTTGCTCACTGAAAATCTCCAAGTTGCTGAAGGCCAAGTCAACCAGATCACTCCAACTTACAAAGCAGTTTAAAGAGGGAGCCATAACTGTGGGGGAGCGTCACTGAAGCATGTATTCCTTTTTCAGTAGCACCACATAAAGCAGGAATCTATATACACCCAACTCTCTTCAGCAGTCAGTTAGATCTCCCAAAACCAGGGACCAGCATGTTTAAACACCTTTCTCAGACTGGGCACAGACAGGTCCCAGGATATGGCTTAGTCACCCAAAGAGAGGTTGTCATTCTCTGAAAGGTAGTGAAGGATACCACAGAGCATTTCTGGATCTGTCTTTCCAAGTGTAGGCAGAGCTTTCCCTTCTGATACCGTGAATAATGGCTTTTATATATCTGTTCTTCCCTTAGATCGCTGACTTTCTGCTGCAGAAATGGGACATCAAAACTGAAACAAAGCAGATATTTAAACAGAAATTACTGAACTGTTAAAAAAAGAGAGAGAGAGAAAGAGAAAGAGAAAGCAGGCCAGGCCAGTACGAGATGACCCTTAGAGATTCACCTCACTCAACAGCAAATAGTGAGAGTAAGCTATGTCAGGAGCTGGGCTCAGAGCTGAGGACTCTTGACTTATAGTTCCAGTCCAAGACTGACAGCCACTGGGGGCATCTACCACAGCAGGAGCACAAAGAAAGGCAAAACCACTCATCTCTTGGGCCAGAAATCAGAAGACAGAGCCAGAAAACGGCCAGGGTCCCACAATTCCCTCTGCAAATATGTCCCCCATGACTTGACAACAGCACCCCCCAGTTGCACCATGCTGTGAACATAGACCTCTGGGAGATGCCCCCCACATTCAAACCAAAGCAAGTTTCAGTCAACAACAGTGTGAGTCCCTACATTCAGCCTGAAACTAAGTGCTATTCAAGTAAATAAAAAAGACATTTCTTCTCAATTGCTCATGGTTAGAAAGTACTAAGAAAAGACAGGCACATTACAACCCAGTGATACTTTCTCTGATCCACTACCACTGGGAAATAGTCTTCCTGTGCACACTGTACAGCTCTGTAAATAAGGAAAAACTAAAAACAAAGATGCTAAGTGCTCATTACAGATGCAGGAAGGATTTTTGTTATTTCTTGCTCATTTTCCAAATACCTCCATCTAAGTTGGGTTGACCCACATAAGCAGAAGTATGGCTACAGAGGCACTTTTCCCTTGCAAAGAACAAGTGCTATACAAATGGTACAATTAAAGATACTTCAGACTCTTGCATACTGAAGATGCAACTTGTAATTCCACAGAGAACTACTTTTTGCCTTCTTTGTTTTGTTTGAAGGAGGGCAGGTACTTTGCTGGTTTGTTTTGGGGTACTGGGCATCAAACCTACTGCCTCAAGCATGCTAGCCAGGCATGCTCTCACTTAACTAGATCCCTAGCCCTGAATTTCTTACATATATAAAATACAGTGTTAAGAGATAACATCTGCTTAAGCATCACACAGAGCACACACAGTGGCATCCTTAGTTAGGGACTGCACCTAACTAGCAATGTGCCTTCCTGGAAAGACATGCCCTTCTCACGCTGTTATGCTATTTGAGCAGTCACAGGCATTTCAGTTTTCCAGTCTTTCTCTGCTGCAGGGCACTCTTGGGTGCCATCTACTGAGTTTAGAAGTCATCCCTCCTCCAGTCCTCTTGGTTGCAAGGTTTATTCTGATGTCTGACCTCAACTAAACCAGTAGGAAATCATCCCGTAAAGTACGCCTCTTGATGCATCCAATAAACACTGCTTTAAAGATAACTGCTTCTGGCCTGGTGGCACAAGCCTTTAATATGTTAGCATTCAAGACACAGAGGCAGAACTCAACCTAGTGAGTTCTGGGCCAGTCAGAGCTCCATGGTGAGCCTATCTTAGGGGAAAAGGAGGGTGGGGGCATTATGATCCTGTTTGCTTTTCTTTAAAAGGAAAAAAAAAAAAAACCAAGGTTAACATCATTAACCTCAAGGTTTTAACATCAAGGTTAAAACCATTCAAATAAAAAATTCAAACTTGCCATATTTGACAGCATAATGGAGTATTCACATGCAGTATGGTTAGGCTGAATCTATTACACAGCTCTTCCCTAGTGCTCTTAAAATTTCAACCATCTCATTCAGACTACAGATGGCAACATCAACCTAGCACCTACCTAGGGCAAACCATTATAAGCACATGCATCTATTTTTTCAAATCATGTTTTATTTCATGGTAGCTAAAAACAAAATTGGCAAGAAAAAGAGATTAGCATTAAAAAAACAAAACAAAACAAAAAACAACTATGGGCCTAACGGATAGGCCCACCATAGCACTCAAAGCTCTACTCTAGCGCTTGAGAGGCTAAAGGAAGAGGATTTCCCCAGGTTCCAGGCCAGCCTGGGCTACCATGTGAGATCTCACCTCAAATAAATAGTAGAAAACAAACAATGTATAACTTATCCTCTACAAGAGAATCTGTATACAGACACTGTCACAAAGAACATACTTGAGAAACTAAGTCAATGCTTTATTACCACAACTCACCCTTGAACTTTCTGGACTAGAAAATGGAGAACACTCCCAAGATCTACTTTCTTTGTCAAAGGAATCATCTTGAAATGCAAACTTCTGCTTAAGTGCATTGGCTATTAAAGACACTGGATCCCATTGTGAACTCTGTCTTTTCCTCTTCTGAATGGGTCTACCACCTGGTGACCTATTTTTTAAAAAAAGACAATCAAATACATTAAAACTTTGATGCAATTTTACCTCTTTGTTCACAAATGTAACAGGAATATGAGCAAAATACATCATAATCTAATTAGTCTTTACGAGATTTCTGCCTTGAACTGAGGAATCTAAAGGATACTAAGAATTCAGTATCAGAAAACCAAGAAACCACATGGGTTGGGGCCTCTCACAACCTGTCATGACCCAAGGATCCTCATTTTTCACTGCTACAAACCTTAATTTTTAACCAAAATTCCCAGTGTAGAATTCACTAGGCAGACCAGGCTGCTGGCCTGGACTTGTGATCCTGCTTCTGCCGTCCAAGTACAGGGACTATAGGCGTGCACCATGATGTCCAGCACCACTGAATAGAATTTAAAGAAATCTTTTTAAGAGCCAGGTATTCAAGAGACAGACACAGGCAGATCTCTATGAGTTTAAGGCCAGCCTAGTATAAAAAGTGGGTTCCAGGACAGAGAAACCATGTCTCGAAAAAAAAAAAAGAAAAAAGAAATCTTTAAGAATGTTTGAAGGACTGAAGGACTAGATTCCATGAAAAGTCATTTGGCTAGTTGTCCATTAATTAGATCATTCAGTCAGTCTTCATTAAATTACAACTACTTAAGCATGCTACTTCTGGAATTTTCCATTGAAGGGTAACCAACTTCAGAGAAAGCAAAATGTTGGGTAGAAGGAACTACTGTATTCCTAATTCTTTACAACATGGAGTATGTATAATTAACATATTAAAAAACAGTGAAGTATGGTAAGACAATGTAAGAAATAGTCAAAAAAAAAAAGAACTAAAGGTGATTGTCTCCCGGAGGATGGTCACACATGCTAAGAAATAATATATACACACCAACTCTCAATTTCTCTGAAAACAACTGATAAAATTTCAGTTCTTTCCCCAAATTCTGGCGACATACCTTTCAACGGGACGAAGTCTGACCTTACTCATGTCCTTGAGAACGTCCAGCATGTGCGGAAGGTCACTAACTCTCTGGCTTTCTGAAGGATGGCTGCCATTCGTCTCGTCGACACCCGAGGGCGGCTTTTTCACGCCAGCTGCCGGATTATCTCTGGTAGTAGGTCCAGGTTGCACGGGAGGAAAACATGGCTGGAAAGAAAACTGAGGCAGAGGCGGTGGAGGAGGAGGAGAAGAAAGTACCGATCTAGCAGGGTGACCTGGCTCCGCACTCAGCCCAGCAGCCGCTGATGAAAACGGCGCTTGTTCCGTGCTGGATTCTTCACTGAGGTCACAGAGGCCTAAAACAAAGGAGTCTGTTGAAAGCCCAAAACCACGAGCAATTCACTTCAGCATAATATATAAAATCACTGCGAGACGAGTCACTAATGGCCTCTGGGATACAACTAAACTACTGACGAGAAAGCAAGCCAACCGCATCTGCTGAGTAAGTCCTAGGTAGGAGTGGCCATCTGAAGTGTGAGTTCGTTTCTAATCCAGTCAAGCCGTCTCAGGGCACACACACCCTGAAGGACGCAGAGTAAGGGGAAAAAAGTGATTCCTAGGAATCCATAGAAAACCTCAACTTCACTCTCCAGTTTTAAAAGCAAAACATTAACAGCTTCTAACAACTCAAATTGATGTATCCACTCTAAAATGACATTTGAGAAACAGGTATATGACTCTACAGATGATATCCTATGATGAATATTTAACTTTCTCATAAATCTACTCCTAATGAGCTGTGAGTAAACATCCTTGCTTAAAAAGAAAGAGTAGCCAGGCAGTGGTGGCGTACGCCTTTAATCCCAGCACTCGAGAGGCAGAGCCAGGTGGATCTCTGTGAGTTCGAGGCCAGCCTGGTCTACAAAGCAAGTTCCAGGAAAGGCGCAAAGGTACATAGAGAAACCCTGTCTCGAAAAACCAAAAAAAAAAAAAAAAAAGAGTATACTCATGTATAATTGTTTATATACCTATATAAAGTATTATATAATTTAACTATATATGTTATATTGAAATATATGCTGTATCTATTAGTACACTATATAAGTTATGTGTATATTATGTACACATAATTATATATGTAAATTTTTAGTAATCATACTTACATAGCCTCTTACAACCAAATCTGTTATGAAAAGAAATCAGAACCTATATAGACTATAGACCATAGTCTCATGGTTTTTAAAAAAGATTTTCTTTTTATTGTTAATTATGTATGAGGGGTATGTACACGTGAGCTCAGGTGACTATGGAGGACAGAAGAGGATGTCAGATTCCTCTCCAGCTGGGGTTATAAATGGTTATGAGTCACCCAAAATGGATACTGAGGACCAAACTCAGGTTCTCTGGAACACCAGAATGTGCTCTTAAGATACAGCTCCAAAAGCTTAAAAAAAGACATCTGGAAAATATAATTCACCTGAACTTGGTGACAGGATCATCAAAAACTAAAGACAAGCTCAAGAGATGGTTCAGCGCTTAAGAGCACTGGCTGCTGCTCTTACAGAGGACTCGGGTTCAGTTCCCAGGACCCACATGGCAGCTCCTCACTGTTTCTAACACCAGTTCCAGAGGACCTGATGTTTTGTTCTAGTCTCTGCAGGCACCAGGCGTGCAGGTGGTGCACATACATGCAGGAAAACACCTATATGCATAAAAGAAAATAATTTTTAAAAAAACTACCTAAAGACCAGGTGCTGGAGAAATGGCTTGACTATTAAAAGCATTTGTTTCTCCAGGACCAGAGTGCAGTTCCCAGCATCCACATGGTGGCTCCCAACCACCTAAAACTCCAGCTCCAGGGGATCCAATGCCCTCTTCTGACCTCTGTGGGTAGCAGGCATGCACATGGTGCACAGACATACATTACAGGCAAATATTCATGCACATTCAATAAATCTAAAAAAAGTTAAAAGCAAAAACAACTAGACTATAAATATTCATGGTCTCAAACCTATTCTGCCCTTTCAAGCCAATACATCTTTTCTCCCTCTTTAACTTCCATTTTTTCCTTTCTTTTTTAAAAACTATTTATGGGCTGGACAAATAGCTCAGTGGTTAAGAGCAGTGACTGCTCTTTCAGAGGACCCCGATTCAATTCCCAGAACCCACAGGGCACACTCAAGTTCCAGGGGATATGATATCCCCATACAGACATAGAGGCAAAAAAATAAAAAATAAAAAACAATGGACATAAAATAAAAATAAGTAAGTCATTAAAAATTTTTAGAAAAATAAAAATTATTAGTTTGGGGGAATTAGTATTAGTTTTTTATTTTGTCCTGTTGTGGTGTTTCTGAGAGGTTTTCAAGAAGCCCAGGCTAACACAAACTCTGGGTAGCTACAGATGATCTTCAACAGATTAATCCTCCTGCCTCTACCTTCCAAGTTCTAGAATTACAGGAGCACACAATCATGCCCTGCTTTATGTGGCACTGTAGATTTAACCCAAAGCCTCATGAACATGAGGCAACACTCTATCAACTACCCCAAAGCCTTATTTTTGGTTTCTGAGACTGGCTTAGAACTCAAGGCAATCCCTCTGCCTCAGCCTCTTGAATTCTGGAATTACAGGCATGAGCCACCGGGCCTGTCTTCCAATGCTTTGCTGCAGAATTAGAAAAGCTGACTTAGAAGTCATGACTTACAAACAAACAATGATCCTCACTAGTCCAGCTAGCTCTTCTATGCAGCCCTTGGTTTGCTCTGAGTGACCATCAGACAGAATTCCATATGGCCATCAGCCTTCTATGAGGGATTTACTGTTGTGTACATCAGAATGGTGCTCATGTAAGTGTCAGCTCATGTCACTCTCGTGGGAACAAAACTCTCGTCCTACTCACCCGTCTCTTTAGACTCTCTCAGCTCCTGCATTACCACAATTGCAGCGATCTGGGACCGAAGCAAACTGAGCTCATCTTCCAGGGCAGCTATTTTTTTAATTGCAGCCTCACTTACTGGCAGATCGCTTTTCGCTGGTTTGTTCTGTCTTAGAGAAGGTGATGATGGATCCCAAGTTATTTTTGATGAATGGAAAAGAGCAATTTTCCCTTCCTTCTCCTTTTTCCATAGACTATGTCTGTGGGGGAAAGGAAAGAAGACACAAAGGGAGGAAAATGTTCAACTGAAAAGGGAAATCTCAGCTACCCACGACTTCAGTCCCAGCACTCGGGAGGCAGAGGCAAGCGGATCTCTGTGAGTTCGAGGCCAGCCTGATCTACACAGAGAAACCCCATCGAGAGAGAGACAGACAGACAGAGACAGAGAGATAGAGACAGAGAGAGACAGAAACAGAGAGAGAGAGACAGAGAGAGAAGCAGGGCTGGAGAGATGGCTCAGTGGTTAAGAGTGTACACACTGTAAAGTTAGTTAGCTTTTTTGTTTTGTTTTCTTCTTTTGAGACAGGTTCTCATGAAGTCCAGGCTGATCTGGCTCCCAGAATCTACGTCAGGTAGTTCAGCCCCTGTAACTCCAGCCCCAGGAATCCACAGCACCAGTATTCACAGGCACAGACTCCCTCCCCCACCACACACATGACAAATAAATTCTTTAGGAAAAAGAAAAGAGGGGCCTGGGACACAGCTCGGTACAGGGTGCTTGCCTAGCATGTGCAAGGCCCTGGATTTAATCTCTAGCACACAAATATAAACAGCAAGCTAAACAAAATCAGAGTACCTCTCTCTGCCCTGAGATGATCCCTAGACTCACAAGAAAGAGCACCTCACATTATAATTTATTTTTGCATTCATATATAGCACACATGGCCAATAAGCAGCTAGGAAATGAGAAAAATGAGCTTTTCCTCCAGTGATAAAATAAAAAATAGTCACCCTATAATTTCTTTACTGATTGACTTTAAATAGTGTCAGTTTATTCAGAAATTCTACATACTAAGTTCTGAAGGGCCCTGCAGTCAGGACTATATTAGGGTCAGTTTATATCTTCTAAATTTCTGAAAGCTAATAAACCAGTTTGACACATAATAAATTTAGCTAGAATCTTTGACTAATTGACATGCATCATGTTAAATGCCTCTATTTGAATAGCCTAAGATTAAGTCAGTACTTGCTAGGAGTATAAATACATCCAAAATTTGAAATATAGCCCACTTCAGTATTCATGGAGTAATTTGTTTCAAGTACCCTGCAGACACAAAAAGCCTAAGATGCTCAAGTTCCTTATATAAAAGGGCACCTATGCATATCCTTTGCTTATTTTAAGTTATCTCTAAAATACTTAAAATACCCAATACAAGACTTTATGTCACTTCGTTTTTGTAAATACAGCATAGTATCTGAAATAAAACAAATTCAAGTTTTTGCTTTTGGGAAATCTGTGAACTTTTCTCTCTAAATATTTTCCATCTACCATATTTGATTTCATTGTGTAGAACCTATATGAGAACCCACGAATACAGAGCCAATATGGAAACCATGACAGAGGGCTAAATGCATGAACCTAACATTTATTTTTAAATGCCTTATTTATAAGAAGAGAAAATAATATTAACATGACCCTGGACCCCGCTGATAACCCACAGACTCCTAGACCTGGTATTAGGTTCAAATATGAACAAAGCATCCAAGGGCTCTGCTTACAACTCAGTCTCATTCCACCTGTCCCGCAGACGTCACCCAATTACTCACACAGCCAGCCTTGATCAGCAATTTCAGGATTTCCTATCTGGTCTGAAACCAGTCCAAATATAGCAAAAGAAAAACGAACACCCACTCAGCATAGGTAGACCACAAAACTCCTATCAATTCCACAACCTAACTCGAGATAGCCAAAGTCCCACTGCAAAAGTAGAAGCAATATGAAAAATTAAGACAATATGGACCCCAAATATGACCAGACCTACAGTAATATTCCTCATCAAAAAGAAACCAAATGAATTTCAAGACAAAGAATTTTAAAAGAGTCATTATAAAGAGTTCAAAGAGCTTAAACAGAAAATAAACACCCGAATGAAGTTAAAGATGACAAAAATAAATTCATGGTTGAGGTCCAAGAAAACACAAGCAAATGAAATAATGAAACAATCTAGGACATGAAAAATGAATTCAAAAGAGAGTGAAATGTTGAAGAAAACAGAAATGCAAATGAAGATAGAAATGAAAAATTCAACCACCCATTCAAAAATGGAAAGCCTTACCAACAATATGGAGTGGGAGAAAACAGAGTGTTAAAGTCTGAAGAAAATATAGAGGAAATGGACCACGAAATCAAATAAAATGATAAATTAAAGAAAGGAGCCGGGCAGAGGTGGCACACACCTTTAATCCCAGCACTCAGGAGGCAGAGCCAGGCGGATCTCTGTGAGTTCGAGGCCAGCCTGGGCTACAGAGTGAGTTCCAGGACAGGCACCAAAACTACACAGAGAAACCCTGTCTCAGAAAACCAAAAAAAGAAAAAAGAAAGAAAGAAAGAAAAGAAAGGAATACA